CGCGTGTGCGTATGCGTGCGTGTATGTGTGTGCCCACACATGATGAGTGTAATTTAATATTTACTATGGCTAGAGGAAGAAAAGGGAAAAAAAGAAAGGAAAGGAAGGGAGAGGGAAAAATGGAGGAGAAAGATATCAAATGATATTATTATCATATTATATCCACTATTAAAAATCTAATCTGAATATCAAATATTTCAATATGTTCAATACTGAGTGATTGGCAAAAGAGTTTTATTTAACATATATAGATAATCGAAACCATCTTGTATTAGCAAATAAAAAATAAAATACCATTCGTAAGGAAAAGATAAATAAAAGTTTGCGAAGAAATAATTAAATGAAAAAAATAAAATAAAGAGAAAAAATTATTTTTACGTTAAAAATATATATAAATTATTATAAATTATTATAAATTTACAATTTTTTAAAATTTATAATAAAGTTATATTAAAGTAAAATCATACTGAACAGTTAATATTTACAGCTATTTTGTACTAGTCTTGATTTTGATTAACATTTGATATTTTGTATTATCTCATTGCTACCTATTGTTTTCTTATTTTCTTTCATTCTTATATAATTATACGATTATATCTTTCTTTTTAATGAGGCAAATATAAATTAAATTATTCTTCAAAAGATACTGATTAAACGTAATAATTTTTTTAGTCAAAATTTCTGTTAAGAACTTTTATTATATTAACTTTATGAAGCTTTGTCACGAGTGATATTTATCAATAAGCACACTAAATCTTACATATTTTGTTTACTATTATTTGTTGTTTTATATATATGAACATAAGAACAGGGATATTTGACTATTCTATTAACAATAAGATATTTCAATTCGTAGAATAATTAAAAGTACTTGAAGTAATTTAGTAATTTGGAATGTTATTTGTGTAGTTTACTTTATTTACTCTTACGTGAATTTTTTTCTTTAATATCCATGATCTATAAAATTTGGTTTTTTCTTTTTAATATGATAGTTGATAGTTGCTTGTATAAAACATTCTTGAACAACGAGGTTAGTTCTAATTTTATAAGCAACAGTTTAAAAAATTAAACTTATAGTATTTTCAAAGATCTTATAGATCTTTGAAATGTTTTAATTACATTTATAAAAGAATAAATTTAATAAATAATAAACTTAAAAATATAATAAAATATAAAAGAATACAAATAAGAAAAATATTGAAATACATTCAGTATTTTAATCCAATAAACTATATTTGATAGTTGATCAAAATAATCTTAATGTGAATTGTAAGCACAAATTTTTTTATATTGCTTTAATCTAAAGGTCTCTTTATATAATTTAAAATTTATAATGGACATTTAAGCAGAATAATATAATTATATAATATAATAAATATTGAAACCGTCTTTAAGATTAGATATTTGTGAAATAAAATTATAAAGAATGATAATTTAATAAGTAATAATTATTATATTATTTTTACACAGATTTTTCTATGATATATTTTTTATTCGTGATTGGCATAATTTTTGATATCACACTTTTGTACAAACAATTTAAAAAACATTTTGTAAAGTAGCTTTTGCGACAGATATTATCACTATTATAATTTTTATTTTAATTAAAATGATGTTGTTTTATAAAACAATTTTTTTGGCACGTATATTTAAGCGCCTTTTTGAACATTTTTGAAAAAGTAATTTTTAATATATATTTATTTTTTATATGAATTTTATTTATCAATATCTGTAATTGACAAAATATGATTTTTTACACATCACGATAGTTTAGAGTTGCACATATATTTGAAAGCAAATCCTTAAATTGCAAAATGTCAAACTTAATAACAATATGAATATAGATAATCTATATAGATAATTTTATAAAAGAAACAAATATTGTGTAATTGCAGGATGAGTTCCATCCATTTATCGAGGCTCTTCTACCATTTGTAAAGTCTTTCTCGTACACATGGTTCAACCTACAAGCTGCCAAAAGGCGATACTATAAGAAACACGAAAAGCGGATGAGCTTAGAAGAGGAACGTCAGTGTAAGGAGGAACTCCAGGTAAAAAATCATTTGAAATTGATCAAGCAGATCTTTCTTTAACTTTTAGTAGCTTTTTTTAAGTAGCTTTTTATCGATATTTAAAGACTAACTTCTAAATGAAGTTAATAAATCGCTTATTAACAATGATTTGAGGTGAAAATTCTTTGTACTAGCCTGCACATTATAAATTGAACGATTATAAAAACTTAATATGCGAATGTTGGTTAAATTTTTTGTCTATTCGTCGTGTTTGTACGGCGATAGTACGGTCGGAGGTGCTATCGTTGCTAATGCTATCGGCCCGTTGCTTCTCTCCACCGTGATTCTCATCCTCCCTCGCGACAGCGTTCGATCAATATTTTAATTTCGCGATGTTGCGGTATTTAGCGGAAGAGAGGTCGGCATTAACTAGTGGCGCATAGGCGTTCCTTCTTTTTCCATTTTCATCCCATTTCATCCCATTTTTAGATGAATCTAAAGAATAAGCCTCACGCAAATTCATTGATGTAAGTAGAATGGACATAAAGCTTTCTTCCTTCGATGACAAATGTCGCATGTGATTTTGTGAAATCACATCTGTTGTAAATTTCAAAATCTCGTTTAAATTCACTTTGTAATGGTTTTTAGGTATGGTAATCTGCTGGTTTGTGAACGTGAAAGTAAAAGGTTATTGGCCAACATATCAATTACAATGCTAAAGTATTTTCTACGTATGAATATTGGCACAATGCGATGTTTCTAGGACGGTACGAAATTAAATTACATAATTTTGTTTTGTTTTTCTTTTTGAAACTCCCTTTAAAAATGATTAATTAAAGATATGATAGACGATTGATAGATGATTGTTTAAGATAGCTTACTTCATAAGATGAAAAAGTGGTTTAAATAGAAGCAATTATTTGTTTAATTTAATTAAAATATTTAGTGAAAATGGGAAGATAGGTATTCTTTGAACCTTGAATGAATCGAGCAGGATTTTAAGCGTTGCGAAACAGTTTCGTCTAATTGAAGAATAGGAAAGGCATCATCGAAAGATATGATAAGCTTGTATAGCTATTGAATCAACTAACTTGATTGTTTTAATAAAATATATTTTCGAAATATACACAAGAAAACAATTTTATCGGCAAATTTAAAAATTTAATCAGATCCGAAGATAATTTTGTTGGACTATTAAAATTATTAAATTATTATTATTAAGGGCGCTTAAATGATGACAATAAATTTTTAATCTTCTAGTAACCTATTTGAATAGTTGTATATAACAATTTTGAAGACCTAAAAAAATTATTTTCGGCTCTGGCTTTTTAGATTTGCTAGCAAAATTATTCTCTCTTCTCTATATCTTCATCACGTATAATTCCATTTCTATTTGGTCCCGTTGCAACTTGTCAATCGTAAGGTATGCGTTTCCGGGGTGAAACCCGTTACTCTGCACTCGCATTAATATACGTTAGAGAAAGGCATTCGGGAATAAAGGGATGTGAATGGAGAAGCAGAGAGATACGAATCAGACTACTCGCGACGCGAGTCTGTCGTTTTCTCTTAATTTCGAGACAGACCGCAGTACGATATCGACTACTTCAATTCGGGTGTAGGGCGCTGCGAGAAACCGAGACGAGCGAGTACAACATGAGCAAAGGAGGTAGGAAATCGGAGCAAAAGAAAGAGAATGTGAGCAATGGACGGATGGATAGATGGGGATAAACTAAAGCGGGAAGAGAGTACGGTGCGGTGCGGTGCGGTACGGTACGGTACGGTGCGGTGCGGTGCGGTGCGGTGCGGTGCGGTGTGGTGCGGCGTGGTGCGGCGTGGTGCGGTACAGCTCGGCGCCTCTCGGCGCGTCGCTCGCAGGAGGAAGGAAGAGTGTACGTATACGAGAGAGGAGTATGTGCAACTCGACGGAGGGTTGAAAGGGTCGTTGTGGATCGGAGAGAGTCCGTGCGAGAAGAGCTCGGGACGCTCGGGAAG